TCTCGGGGGTGTGTCCCGTGCATTGTAGAATGGATATCAGAATCCTGGGCCTCTGTCCATTAGGTTTTGGTAGGAGGCCCAGCCTAGGGCGAGGCAGTCAAAAATGTCTCTAAACAATGCCAACTGTCTCCCCTGGGGGTGGGGGAGGAAATCAATCAAATCAGACAGAAATCAATCTGATCTATCATGTGCTTACTTATCTTTACTGCTGCTCTCAGGAAGACACAGTGTTAGCATTATTATTCCCATCTCACAAAGGAAGACATCGAGGGTGAGAAATTAGGCGACTTACTCGAGGCTATGAAACTGAAGCGATGGAGTTGGACTACAAAACTAGATTTGCCTTATTGATTTATTTAAAAAAACCCATGTTCTTCCTATGACACCAAGTTATTTAAAATTAGATGTAATGCTACACATTTTATTCTTATTACTGCCATTATTCTCAACTTAAAATTAATTCTGACTCTGAGGCCAGAACGTGTCTTTCAGCCAAAACACGTGTGAGTGTCTCTGTAGCTCAAACCTCTGCTGTAACCCTGTTCTCTGCTCAGGATGTAACCCTATTTCCAGCCCCATTACTTAGTCATCTAATTGCTTTGTAAATCCTGCTTTCTGTTACCCCAGACAATGAGGGCGTGACCTGGGAGAGAGCCCTCCACAGCCAGTGCCCCCAGCAGGGGAGGGGCATAAGGTGGCCACAGCCAGAGGGACCTGTTCTCTGTCCTTTCTGGAGAAAACCAAACAATTCCTTTACTGGGTGCTGAGTGCACGCGTGCAAGCCCTGGTCTGCCAGAACCCCCTGGAACTGGGAGATTTAGAGATTCCAATAATAGAAATCTTCTATTTGCACTTTTCAGTGCCAGGCTAGGGCTTACGAATGCGACTTCTGTAAAACTGAGCAAGTGGAAAAAGGGGTTTTCAAACCAATCATTCGGCTTCAGAGCCTGACATCTGGGGTCGGCTTTTCCTTGGTACTTTTCACTCCTGCCCCAGTGTTCCGACGCCCACCGGAGGGCTGACAGCTTCCGGCCTCCGCGTTCAGCATTCAAACAGGGAGAGACGTTTCATAGCAATTAACAGTGACGCTTGGGAGAGATGGCAACACGCTGAAAAAAAATTAATTGAAAATTTAACCTTCAAATAAAAATACTCAGACCTCGGGCCTCTATTTGTAAGCCGCTTACGCTGTCTGCACAGCCTGCTGCATTATTTAGGTGTTTTCTACACCATTTCTGACTACTACAGCAGTGTTATTTTCCAGTCCAGTCTCCTTAATAAATATATGTGTCAAATATCCGCTTCCTCCGCTGAATGCAAAGACGGTGAATTCCCCTTGTCTGCATGTGCTAAGTGGTTATGTAACGAGATTAACAGCTCTGTCTTTTTTCCTTTGCAGCTTTCATAGGAAAAGCCAGCAGGCTCCCAGACAAAGTTAAAAAGGTACCTTCTTTAATTTTGCATATTGGGAGCTGCGATGGGTTGCTAATGTTTGTTTTATTTTCATCTGTCAAAAGCAATGCCAAAATACGTCGTGTTTGCCTTGAGTTGGTGCAATTAATCCTCCGATGGAAATGGTTCTGTCATTCCCTGTTTGGTTAAGGTCCCGATTTCACTGCTTGCTCACTCGCAAACCGTGGGCCGGTGTCTGCCAGAGGCAGCCAGGGTGCGTGTCATGTGACTTTCTGGGAAATCTCCTTGTGACAAAGACAAAGGGGAAAGGTGGGGCAGTGCCCTTAGAGAAGTGTGGATTTGGAGGCCTGCCTTGGGGACAAAAGAGGTGTCCTGGGCTTGATCCTGCTGGCCTGTTTGTCCCCATGGAGCTAAAAGAACCAGCTAAAGAACCACTGGGAGAGTGGCTTTGCAGTCAGTGGGGCCCACCCCCAAAAGTCCGGCTTCCATGTTAGGGAAATGATGTTCTGTTAGTTTGCTAGGGCTGCCTTCTCAACATACCATAGATGGGGAGGCTTGAACAACAAAAATTTTTTCACAGTCCTGGAGGCTGGGAATTCCAAGTCATGGTGTCGTGTGAGGGGGGGGGACTGGTTTCTTTGGAGGCCTCTCTCCTTGGCTTGTAGGTGGTGCTCCTCTGTCTGTGTCCTCATGGAGTCTTCCTTTGGAGTCTGGGTCTCGTCTGCGTCACTTTTTACGAGGACACCTGGTATGCTGGCTGAGGGCCCACCTTGATGACCTCATTTTAACTCAGTGACTTTCTGAAGACCCTGTGCCCAAATATAGTCACATTCCTAGGTACTTGGAGTTAGCACTTCAATATATGAATTTTAGAGGGACATGATTCAGCCCATAGCAGACGGTCACCAGAAAGGAAATACAATAAAAGTAGATGAGGTAAGAAGGGAAAGATCTTGGGCCAAAAACTATAAAAGTAGCCTCTTTCTCTCTCTCTCTCTCCCTCCTTTCTCTGTGTCTCCTTTCCTTCCCTGCCTTTAGTCTTTTTGCTTCTTCTCTTTCTTTGTGAATAAAATCTCTCCGCCATTTCTATCCAGTCAGCATATTTTATGGAATGCATGCTTTCGAATCGCTGTGTCCTGAGTTCAAATCTTGAACCTGACTTCTTAGCTGCATGACCAAAGGCAAATTGTTTTGAGTTTTTGGTTTTTCATCCTTGAGATGGGGTTAGCAGCAACTCTCCCAGTTGACTTTGTTGATAAGGACAATAATGCCCTATATATAAAAGCCTGTGGTTTTATGTTTTTCCCTGAGTGTAAGGAATAGGGGGTGGTTGTCAATAGAGAATTTAAAAATAATAAAACTGACTTTTTAAACAATATCAGTACTGATGGCTTCCCACAGCCAGCCCACCAACCCTTGTGTGGCCTTGTATGGGACAGGAGAGTACCATCCCTTTTTTTCTCTGTTGTATATTAAATGCATCTCTCTCTCCATCCCTCCCCTCTTCCCCCCTCCCTCCTGCTCTCCCGTGCTCCTCCTCCTCCCCCCTGTCTGTCTCTCTGTCTGTCTGTCTGTCTCTCTTTCACACACACATCCTCACATTAGTATCTTGAATTCACAGGACAGCTTAACCAAAGGTATTTCACATGACTGCACATCTTATTTTGCATTTGTTTTACGTAGAAACTGCCAAACCTCCAGCTAAACTTTATATGATAGAGGAGAGCCATCATTCACCGATGTTTTGAGAAGAGGAGGGCTGGTGGTCTCCGGTTAGAGCCTTCCTCTTCTTTCCCAAGTGCCCTCAACTTCTCCAGTCAGCTTCCAGGACTGGGCCATGGCAGGGAGATCAAAATATGCAGCTGAACACAGGAGTCAAATCCTTAGTAGCTGACCACAGGAGATGTGTGTGTGTGGCCGGGTCGGTCATGTTGATTATCCCATGCTCCTTTCTGAAGTGGTACCCATCCCCTTCCCGCCCCCCCCGGGCATCTGTATATAAAGGAGCTACTTCTTTTATAGTTATTCTATGTAAGTGGCTATTTTATGTAAACAGAAGAACAGAGGGTTGGTGAATTGTGCTAAAAACACAACAAAAGCAGACATGAAAAGCAACTCTGAATGGTACATCTCCTTTTTCAGTGGGAGATATCTGTCTTCATACAACATCAAAAAGTTTAAACCCTTGCCATGCATCATTGAACTTTTCCAGGAAATAGTCCACCTTGGGGTTTTACTTCTTCCGTTGAAATCTCCAACAGTGGGAGTAATAGATGGTATTGTGTACATTGCATGGTGCAAATAGTAAAATGATGTCTGTGGTGGCCATATAACAAAGTGGAGATGTTTAATCATACCATGTTAAGTGAACAAAAAGAAGCAAAATGTTATGTTATGGAATATAGATTAAAATGTTTAACACCAAAAAGAAACCCTTCTAATTATGTCTAGTAATACTTAAAACTTAGCAGAGGGGCACGGACATGCATTTGGAAAGAGCCCTTTCCCGTGAGGTGGGGGGCAGGTCTTGCCTCTGCTGGGTGTGCGTCAGTATCAGAATCTTGGACTCATATCCCGTGAGTCTGGCCCGAGTTGGTTTCCTGTAATTCACTGGACAGGTTCCGTGGAACCTGAGGATGAAGGGTGCGATCAAGTCTAAGATTTATCGATGAATCCTCCAATCAAAAGGAGGCTGAGTCTGGTTGAACTCAATGTAGAAATGAAAACTTTATCGAAATATTTTAGACAGTTGGTTCTGTCTAAAATATTAGACAGAGGTTCCCAAGGTTCATGTAACCTTTGAATACTACAAAGCAGAGCCTTAAAAAATGTTCCAATTTCTTCTTACGAGACATGGTGAAATGCCTAGTTGTACTCACTAAGTGCATTGTCTGTTTTGGCTCAGATGACTCACTTTTGCCGTCCTAATTCTCTCTTCCCACACTGTTCCAGACAGGCGGGTGATAACATATTTGTGGACCAGGCCCATGATCATGAGTTAGAGAATCTTCTAGGTTTCTATTACTAGAAATTGCTCGGTTTGTGGACGTGAATAACAAGAATATTTATTATAAAGTCATGTTTAGGGGCTTTCTGTGTTCCTCCAAGAAACTTCACCAGAGGTGGCTGCTTCTCTGGTTTGCTCTGACTTCTGTCCCCCACCCCCCAACCCCCTGCCAGAATTTGTTTGATTGCTGCGGGGTGTGGTGTGTGGAGCGGTTTTGGGGAGCAGCAAATATTTTTCAAAATGGGAATCTACGGATGGTAAAAGGAATTTCTCAGCTGCAGGACTATAGATTGCACGCCTCTTCCTAAATTCCACGATCTGACCCCCCCACCCGCCGCTCTAGTTGGGCTGGTGAGTCAGTTTTCACACCCATGTTCACCGAGGCTCCATGCTGAATGGAGAGGCCTGGAGGGACACGTAGCAAGACGTTGCTAGTGATTACGTTCCAGTCTTGGATTATGGGAATATTTCTTCCCCTTTCCAAATGTGCTTTAATGACATTGATAAGGAAAGCTGTTTTTCTTAAAAAAACAACAACAACATAATAATGCTACTTTTTATTTTACTTATTTATTTTCTTTTTGCATCAGATGATGGGCAGCAATCATTTTTGTCAGACTTTGGTCACCAAACAGTGTCATTAGCTGCATGAAGATGCTACTTGTTAATATGTGTACGGAACCTCTTGACATGTATGAGCTAATTCTGTTAATTTCAACATTTTAATCATCACACGTGAGAAACTGAAATATTGACATTTGTAGAGGACTAACAAAATATTTCCATTAAAATCATCACCATATATTCTAGATGCTGATAGAAATAACTTTCTAACTTAAAAATTCAAAAGCCATATTTGTAAACCAGTATAAATCGAATAAATAGAAAGTCATTAGGGAGGATATTGCCCATGATACGAAAACCTATGAGTCCAGTTAAATCCATCCCACCCTTTATTTAACCATTCACTTGGTCAACCTTATATACAGGCTAGGTCACGGCGATCGCTGGGGAGCCAAGTACATAGTACCTGTCCTTAGAGAGCCCGCAGTTTAGGTTACATTCCTGTCTGAATGAGCATAGCCTGGCATTAACAGATTCTAAATTACAAGTGAGTGGAGAAGAAGAAGAACAATTCAGTATGTGTCAGAGTTATATTTCGCGTGCACAAAAGAAAGTAGATGGAAAGGATTCTCAGTACAATGCACACACACCCTGTCGCACTGTCTTTGCCTGGCTCAGAGACCCAAGGTTGATTCCAGTGATAAAAGTAGTCATTAATGTAAAACATTTGGTCTTGAAAGACGCAGTTGACTCTCCTACATCGTGCTTTGTCCCTCCCATGTCTTCGTAAAGGAAATCCCAACACAATGAGGGTGGACAGGGCTGCTGTAGACACAGGAGAGGCTCCCGGCAGCAGTGTGTACAACAAAGGCGCTTCCCGTGTTTGATGGTTAATGGTTCAGATTGTCAGGGAACCAACCCCGTGGCTGAGGAGATGATGTCACCTTGGTCCCTTAGGGACCCGGATGGAAGAAGACTTATTACAGGCTATCAGTTCCGTGGGGTATCACTCAAGAACTTTTATAAAAAAATAGTGGTCAGTGTGGGTGGGTGGGCAGTGCTGCAGAGCAAAGAAAAAATAACATCAGCCTGAAAGTGAGTTTATATGTAAGTTGGGTGTAGAGTGTTTGCTAAAATACAGGAGGTTGGGACCCTGAGCACTGTTTGGAAGCCATTTAGAAAATAACAGCATCACAGGCTGGTGGGAGCATATGGAGCTGAGTGAAACAGCAAGCTGCAAGGGTTCCAACACTCAGCCACAGGAGGTGAACGGCTGACTACCCGCAGCTGAGACTGAAATGATCGGGGAGTCAAATCGAAGCTGAATGAAATAAACTTGAACACATGGCCCCCAAATGGGTCCCTCCTTCTCTCCCTCCCTCACTTCCTTTGTTTTCTCCTCCCTCCCTCCCTCCCTCCTTCCCCCCTCCCTACATTTATTAAGCATCCAGTATATGGCAGAGGAATACAAAGAAAAAAGATGAGAAAAGAGAAAGAGAACATGGATATAATACACATAAATTTTACATATCTAAAGATTAAAAGAGAGCAATTAAAAGAAACAATCATCAAGGGTATAATTACATACAGTTTTCTAAAGCTGAAAGGATCTAAATATGGAGACCAAAAATCCCCACTGTATTATAAGAAGAGAAAATGAAGAAAACCCAGATTTGTACCTAGAAGAGTATAATAAATGCCAGAAAATGGAACAACTTGTATAGTGTTTTCAGGGGAAAGTGACTGAAAGACATTATAACCAGACAAACAGTTGTTCATTGGGAAAGGCAGCAAATAAAGAACCGCCCCCCCACACGCACAAGGCTAAAAACATACACAAACACAAAAGAAAAATACGTGTTGAAAACTCTCAAAATATGTTATCCATAGACTCTGATTTTAGGGGGGAAACCGTAAGTGTGATCTGTCAGCAACTGAGAATTGACTTGAAATTCGAGATCCAGAATGAGGAACCAAGGTATTCAAAGAGCGATTGTGAGAAAACAATATAAAGTTGAAAACCGAATATCCTTCCAATGTGAATGCAGATTCCGGTATCATTCTCAGGTGGCTCTCAATTATACGGTACTAGTCTAATAGACAATGGATTTCGAAAGGGGACATGAAAAACATCAATCCGCTAAATTGCTCATCTTACAAGGGGGTGAGCATTGACATTGTATCTTGCAGATCAGATAAAAAGCAATTCACATAGGTAAAAGTACATCAAAGCAAAATTTTAAACGGAATGGCTTCTGGGGGGAAAAAATAAGCAAAACCAAAATGTAGACCAAAAAATAACAACTACAACAAAAATAGGAGAGGAAATGGTAAAGCAGTGTAAAAAGCTGCTATAAAACAAGATAGCCGAGTCAGTCAGCAGTCAAGTTAACGAACTTGCGTCTTTCAGGCACTGTGTGCCAAGAGAGCCGTCTGCACTTGACACACACTTCATTGCCTCACTGAATCCTGCTGTACAGAATAGTAAACTGAGGCTGAGATGTTTTAACTACACAGAGCAGATGTCTTGGCATTCAGTGACTGGTCATAAGGGAGTCATAATGCTGACTCGGCTCCTGCATGTCTCATGGCTTTGCGGACGGCCTACGTCCTTGTCTAAACCTGCTGAGAGGGAAAGGATGCCCTCTCAGGTCTGTGATGCATGTTCCTCCAGTGTTCTGCAGTTTTACCCACCCCCTTCCGATAGGACCTGGTCGCGGCTTCACTGTCAGGCTGCAAGTACTGCAGAAGATGACAGTGGCACAAAACATGCATGAAGTCCTTGACTGGCAACATTGTTGTTGTAAACGCTGAGATTTTACCTACAAGTGAAATCTTATTCACCTCTCTCATTATCACCTATGTTCCCAGAGTGTGGAATTGGCTCCCAGGCCTAGAGGAGAGACGTTCAACCTGTGCGCTCCCCAAATTTTTAAAGCGTGCAATACCTGCCTCTTCAGTCAGGGGCACCGACCTCTCTTCCCTTAGATTGTCCAAAAAAAATGACAACAAATGCAACAATAGCCGCCTGGCATGAATAAATCTAACTTATACCTATTTTTTTTCTGTCAGATTGGCAAAAAAACAAAACAAAACATTTTTGGCATGCTGCAGAATTTTAGTAATCAGCTTATATGTGCCATGAGCTGTAAGGGGTTGAACTTGCTGGTGCAGGCTTGCTTAATGGAGCCGTCCCCAGCCGTCCCCAGCCATCCAGAGGTGCCCCGAGCCATGGCCAGGAGGGAGAGGAGACAAAGGGCTGGCCATTCACAGCTCAGCCTCCCAAGGACACCAGACGGGTGCCGGGGCTGCCAGGGAAAGGTTTCTGTTGGCGTTTTTTTAGGTCATTTAAAAAGATTCTGTATAATAAACAAGAGTTTCCAGCAATTGAGAAGTCCAAACTTCTCGCGGTGTGTCCAACAGTGAATTTTCAGTGGTGCTACACAGCACTCAAAGACAAAGAAAGTGAGTATTTTGGTTAAAAGTATTATGAAGGAAAGGCAAAAACGAAGAAAGTGGGCTGATGGCATTCGTTCCCGGCAAACTTTATTCCAGGCCACGTAATATTAAAGGGGACAAAGGGTGTCATTTTGCAGTCCCCAGTACAGACACAGGGGTCATGAAAAGTTATTTGCCAAATAGCATAGTGTCAGAATATATAAGCTAAAAATGTTAGGAATAAAATGGGAACTTTACACAAACGCGTTTGTTTGGGGAAACAGTACACACCCCTCTTACCCTCGGCAGAAAACAGACAAGTACACAGACAAATTTAAATAAATCATTAATAAAGTGATATATTCAAATAAGTAGGTTTTTAAAGCTTCTGCAGGTTTTAATATTTTTAAAATTCTAAGCCACAAGGATAAGCATAATAAATTTCTTAAAGGAATATTTTTATTGGATATGAGTTCAGCTCCCCAAATTTAATGTCAGATAAATACAAATTAAGAATAAAAGTAAGAACAAATCATGAAAGTTAAAATTTCTTTCTAAGTAATTTTGAGGAGTAATGGGATCTCAGTCACTCATTATTTAGAAATAAAATTAAGGTGAAAATATTTATTTTAAAAGCCTGCTATACTGCCAAAGCTTTACTCTAAGGTAAATTTATAATTCACAATGGTAAATCAATTTCTTATTAAATAAGAGGTTGTAAAGTAAACTAATCAGTCTCTTTAAGATGTTAGACTTAGCACTCAAAACTAGCCTAGGGGAACTAGGTAGATGCAAATCGTGAAGGTAAGAAGAGAAATAAATTGAAATAAAAAATCATTAGAAAATAGACAAATAAATTACCCCAGAAAATGGTGTTCTAGCTTTTCAGTCTGTCTCCGTCTTGCTCCCCCTTCCTGCCTTCCCCGTCTATCAAAAGTAAATAAAATACATCAACTAGATTGAATTCTGATGATCTTATTAAAGGAAAAAACGAAGAATCACCATTCACCTTTCAGGAAAATAGAGACTGGATAATTTCAAATGTGGAGGTTTAAAAATAAGAAAATACAATCACAAGGCACAAGTTTAGGTTAATCCTTTGATAAAATTGATTATTTAGGGAGGAAATAAGAGTAACTGAAATTGGCTCAAAGAATTACAAAAACCCCACTAATTAATTGCACAGAGAAGTAACTAGAGGAGAAAACAAGAGTGCGTGTTGAACGTGAGAGGCGGAGTCACCCCCGGGTCTCCTGGCGCCGCTGGAGACCAGAGAGTTCCTGTGATTCACAGATCCCTCCGCGGCACAGGCAGAACGTGAATATATAGTATCTGAGTTATTCATACCACAGACGATCATGTATTCAAAATATGAAAATATGTACATGTCAGTCATTCATACCACAGACTATGTATAGACATATATTATTAAAATATGCTTGATGGTGCAAAAAGCACAACAGCATACATTTATAAAGGTGGGACCACATGTTGTTGAGTTCATGGAATAGATTGAGAAGCACTTTCTCGAAAAAACTAAACAGCTCAATGAACCTGAATCTCTCAAGTCCTCTTGCCCCGTCTCCTTTTCTCTTTCCCACACACACACACACACACACACACACTCATACTGTATTTGGCCGTGTATA